GGTGGCTCCCCCAGGGTCATTTGGCTGGTCCATTTGGGCTAGGGTCAGCTGAGTACCAGTGTTGGGCATTCTCAATGGGTGTTGTGAACATTTTGTCTGATGCTGGTGTTTGGGTATAGCTCTTACGAATCCCTGGCATTGCTGCAGTGTCCTTGTTTGACATTGTAGTGGGCACTGAATCTTTCTCTTTTATTTTGGATCCCCCAAATCCAAATAAAAAAGTAGAAAAACTTTTGCTAATCGGTAAACGACCATGCCTAGAAGACTGAACAGCAGTCTCCACCACAATGTGGACCTGTACCTCACTTCCTGATCCTGCATTCACTGTCCACTAAATCTTTAGGGCAAATGTCTCCCTTTTTATTCAGAAGCTACATTCTGGGGATATTTTGCTGGAAACATCAACACCTAAGCACAGTGAACTCCTCCTGAATTCAAAGACCATTGGGGATATACCCATTGAGATTACTTCCCATGCTTCTTTGAATTCCACACGAGGAGTTATTGTCGAGAGGGACTTGAAGACCATCTCTGAGTCAGAGATCCTTGCTGGTTTCTCCAGCCAAGGAGTTTCAGCAGTTTGAAGGATCTTCACTCGTCAAGATGGAATTATGGTGCCGACCTCTATCCTCATTTTGACATTTTCATCGCCACATCCACCTGCCACTGTTATTTGAACTTTAAAATATGGCTGTATATTCTTAACCCTCTCCAATGTTTTCAGTGCCAGCGGTTTGGTCATTCAAAGACATCTTGTCGTGGTTCTGTGATGTGTGCTCATTGTAGTTTCAAGGGCCATGATACTTATGAGTGCGAATTGGACCCTCATTGGAAGCTATTGTTCCTGACTCCATCTTGGACATATGCCACTGCACTATACTTTACTACTACAGTGGGGTTGCAGACGGACCTTTCCGTGCCTCCTTCTAAGTCTTTTTCACGCCATGTGAGGGGTCTTCTGCCCTCTATGGATAATAGAGTTGACTGGTCTTCGTCTACTCCAATCTCTGTCCCCACTATTCCTTCCAGTGACTGCCTGGGTCAACCTCCTCGGGCACCAGCCTCCAGTGTCTGCTCGGGTCCTTCTTTGGCTCCCAGTTGCAGGACGATCATTTGATCACTTCCTCAGTCATTGGATTCTCACTCTGATGACAGATATCTGCCCACTCGATCAAATGCAGGATCCATGGAGGTCAATGGACCTCCATCTAGTAAAGGAAAACGGTGTGGTCGTAAACATGGCCAAGAATAGTTTCATTTGCATAGCTGATGCAAGAACTACATGCACTCATCTGCATCTCTTCTAATGCTTAGCTGTGGTGAAAACATTCAAGGAACCAGATGCTAGAGCTCCACTCTCTGTTAATATATACTGACCACCATAGCCATCAGTTACATATCGTAAACAGCCAAGGTAGCTAAACATTATGTGAAATGCACCGTAGCACACAAACAACTCACTAAAGCAAGGTTTCAGCATAGACTGTTTCTGTGTTGCTGGTTTTGAAATAGCTAAGTCATATGTTACTGGCATAAAGTAATCTTGGCATTTGTTTGGTAGACTCACTCCTCTTCATATTCTCAAGAAAAGTATCATGTGATGTTGCTGTTTCCCATTGTTGGTCATGTAACCTACTTTTGTGATAGGAGTTGATTTATATTTGCCCTCAAATTCCAACCTGATCACATTGGTGTACTCTCACAATTACCTTGAGATATACTCCAGGTCATGTCTCTGGCCTTAGATGTCTGATACTGTTTTGATTGTTCCTTTTATTGTATTCAATTAATTTTGTTTTTTTCCTAAATGGGTCGAGCTCATTATATGATGCATCGAGAGATCTTTTCTTTGATCTTCCTTTTACAGGATTAGTCATGTCTTGTGTTTTTTCTTGACTTTCTTATATGTCACAAGTAAACTTCATTTTGGTAGCAGGTGCCCTGTGTATCGTGAAATGTTCTAGAGCTAGACAAAGAATCCTTATTTTTGTCAAAGTCGTCCCATGCAAGACCAGTGCTAAAGTGTGGGACAGCATTCGGTCCATCTGGTAAATTGCTGCCTCTCTGCAAAATGTTCTCAGCATTTTCTGTCTTTATTTCTTCAGTGTTGTGATAACCCACACAATGTTCAAAATGGTTCACTATCTCTTGCATTTTGCTAAATCCTGTTAGACCCATGCCCAGAAGAAAATGTTTCATAAGTTTAATCCTACCATTGGTTGTCTTGTACAAGTCATCTTCTGCAAGATGATAATATGCATCTCTCTGCTCTGTTGCTGCACTAATCATGTTTGTCTGACCCAATATATAACACCCTGTGAAAAAGAAACAACTCTTCAAGAGGTTTTGTTTGTCCTTTCAGTATAGCTTCAACAGTTATTGGATCAGGCAGCTCAGTGTTGTTCAGTTCCATGATATTTGCTTTAAGCTGAACAGCTGCTTCAGCAACTGCATTGCTTTTAGATTCACAAAAAGCTGATGACAATTCAGTATCACCTTTCTTGCTTGTCATGTTAGTCTTAATCCGTTCTCCAAAGCGATCTTTTATTTTATGTAATAGTCAATTTTGGCTCCATTTAACAGTTGCATTTGACTCTGCTGACAGAAGAGTCACATACTTCTGCTTGATTGCAGTGAGTTTCAGAACTGTCTTCTTTTTCATGATTTCTTCTTTGATAAAAGACAGCAACTTCTGCAGTGCTCCTGTTTTATGTTGTAATGACTGATTCTGAGATCCCAGATGATATTCTTTAACTAAGAATCGAGCGCAACATCTTTCATGGTACCATCCCTCTCTTGCAATGAAATCAATGCTGTCATAGTTCATAATGGCATCATGTTTGACATGTCTGGCACCATCTTTGATATTTTTCTCAGATGTGAATGTTGTGCAGTTGGTAGGCCTTTCAAATTTTTTACCTATCCTTGTCTATTCACAATTGCAAAAAATGCATTTTGAGCTGTGAACTCCTGTACTTGTCACTGGAGCTACTGTGTCTGTTGACTTTCTGGTTTGGCTGTTCACTTTGTTTATACTTGTACCTTCCTGTTGATTGTTGGTAGCTAAGCATCTTGTTACACTGATAGCTGTGATATTGCTATGTTTTATGATAGCTATCTGGGAAATGATCACATACACTGGAGTACTTTGATGCTCTGTTGGAAGATGGTTGCTTGAACTTTCAAAGCTTTGCTGCATTTGGAATTTTAGTCCAAGTATTGTCATTGTAAGATTGGATGTTTTCATCTACTGGTAAAGCTCTATGAAGTATACAGTTCAACTCATTGTTCTTGTTGGATATGTCTGAAAAAAAGACACTTTGTAGTTAGATTGCAGCTGCTCTTGTTACAATCATATAAAAATAATGTTTTGTATTGTATAATATAAACTACTTACTGGTGATCTCATCAAAGGCTTCATTATCATTGTGGCCTGAGATTCTAGTTCATTCTGTACTCTCATGGAAAGCTTCAGAATCATGATCGGGCTCCATGACTATAAAATAGGATATATTTTACCAAAAAATACATTACTACATTCACTAAATAATTGTCACAAATGAACAAAACATAGTTTATCAAGTTAAATATTCACTAAATAAATGGCACAAATAAACTAAAAACAATGGTAATCAAAATGTCATGTTACACAGTTATTCAAGGCAATGGAAAATAACACCCAAGGTTGCTATGCATATTCAATGTAATGGAAATACAATTTATGGGCTAGAGATAGGCCATTATCCATAACAATTGATCCACTACAAGAATATTTAAGTTGTAATAACTTTTATCTTATAAATTACAGTTTAGTGTTGCCTTCATTTTCTTTACAGATATATTTCTGTGATAATACCAATACAGTTTAGGACATAAAGTGCAACAAGCAAAAGTGCCAATTTTTGGACTAAAAGTGGGTCATGACTCAAAAGTTTTTACTCCTGAAAAGGTTATTCGTAGTTTTCTACAAAAATATTACTTAAAGGACCTTATCTCTTGCACTATAATAATATCTTCCAAAAAATAAATGAGACACACAGTTCATTGAATATCTTAATGTTACACTCATTTGAACATGTGTCATATATATTGTTAAAGCAGTGGCATCATCCTTACAATCAGTGTATGAACTTCCCCTTTCCTTCACAGATTACATACAAGTATCATTTAGTATACTATTTATAACAGCATCAGTTTTATTTTGAGGAAGACTGCCAATGTTGTAAGTTTGGAGTCTGAAAACTGTGTGTCTGCACAGATAATGCATACATTTGTGTCTGCAACATGACCCCAGATGTATTTAATTTGATCAAACCAAGTGAGTGTATCAATCATTTCAGAGGGTTGCCTGGTACTATTCTTACATATAGTGGTCATGCATTATTATTTATAAGGATGAAAGATAGGCCAACTATACCCATGAATAGCCTCACAAATATCTCTTAGAATGTCTTCCGTAAAAACCAGTAAGCTGATGATAGCCTACACTATGATTGAATCACTTCCAAAGACAGCTTGTTTGGTAATGCATGCTTTTGTATAGGCTCTCCCAATTTATATCCAAGCTGTGATACATTTGAGATTGTGCTGGAGGCAGAAACTGGACTCATCTTTAAATAACTCTTAGCTCCACTACACCATTGGTTATTTGGTATGCTTATTCACTCAGGCCAGCCAACGCCTTACAATCAGAATTGGACACATAACTGATCTTTTTGCATGTAAATTAGCAATACCTGATCTTTTTTCTTAAAATAGGAGTTCTTACTAAATGAAATTCTTCATGGAGGTTTTAGGTATTGATAAATCTCGGTATCATTCTTCATATTACCTCCAAATCATTATTATTTTCCACGAGTTCCAAGTAACATTTCCAAGCTTTGTTAATCAAACTTTGAGAACTTCTAAGTACAACTGCCACTAGATACTAGAATACCCCAATTTTAAGTGTGTAACTTCACTGATTGTTAAACTACTTGTTCAAATTAAGTGCTAACCATTGTCAAACATGCTTACTCTTTCAGCCATGGGGGCATTATATTATGATGGTCAATCCCACTATTTGTCATTTGTCATGCTTATGGTATAGCTGTAAGCTGAAACTATTCCTTTCAACAAACTGAATAAACAGAGTAATTAGCTTTTGATTCTAGGTTATGTTGTAAAACCAGGCAGTTGCAACACAGACATACAACATTATGCATATGGCTTGAATGTGTTTTCTACTTAACTGCTGGTTTCTGACCAGATGTTCTTTTTATAGGCTAAGATTGGATTATACAAAAAACTCTTGGACACCTTCAATTATAATTTATTATGGTTGAAGCCTCACAGACTGTTAGATATAATTGCTTCCAAGGGCAAAGTGGAGTTTTGATAATTTTGCTAGACAGTGTATGTATGTTATAGGTTACCATAAGAAACTTGAATACAGAAAATAAAAAATGTTTTCAATTTTAGGAGTTACTTGTAATTTCAAAGTAATTTTAAATATAATGTCTTTTCTAGGATGATTGTTTTCGTATCATACTAATCTTATTCCAAATAACTAAGATCTAAAAATATATTTTTTTTTCTAGGTTTGGTTCTCCATATGTTCTCCAACTTTCCAGAGAAGCCACTTTTAAAGAAATTCAGAAGCAGATGTTAGTAACAATGGCTGACATATTACAAAATGATGTTATACTAGAGGTAAGATTTATATTTTTTCTTTTGTGTTATTCTTCTGATAGTAAATGTTTTTGTTAATTTTAATTAATTTCAATAAATTAGAAGGTTTCATTATTTTTAATAGCTCTTTCTTAGCTATGCCAGAACTTTGCTAATAGCAAAATTTAAATTTTTATAAAAATCTCAAGGCTTAGTCAGTTTGACCAACCTCGTAAACACCTGTAACCATGAAACCATATATACTATAACTCTGAATGTACTAGTAAATATTTTAGTAAAGATTAAAGTCTGTTGTACACAAAAAGTCAGATTTTTAATATAGTATTTATACTAAAGATTTGTGTGTGAATCTACAAAACCTTCACGGAGGCAATCTGAGTATGTATCATGTTAAGAATAAAGATACTTTTTGTACATATTATAGTTTCACAGTTATTTGCATAACCTTTTTCTTTATTTTGTCTGTTATTTTCTCTGCCCTAATATCAGTTGTAGTGAAACAAAAAGTTGAAAAATGTGAATTATAAATGAATAATGTCTTCTTTCTTCTCTTTTTGCCAGATCTTCAACTTATTTATTTTCACATTTTCAACTGTTAATCTTTTCACATTTGTTTTCTTTTATTCTTATTGTTTTGTTGCCAAACATTGTTCCTGGGAAACTGTTTATTACTTTGTGAAAAGCAATAGATCAAGACAAGAGTCAATATCAAATTTTCCCCTACAGATAAAGTAAATAAACCACTGATGTTATTCATAGTTTGAGCTCATGAACTCAGATTCATAAGCTCATAAGATTTTAAATCATTTTATTTTTCAGAAGATTCAATTTTATTACATTTTAGTTGCTTTTTTTAAAAAATATATAACAATAAGTAAAAAACAATATGTACAAAAAGAAATTTAGCACTTACTTTGGGAGTTGATGTATATTTACACTTGAATGCTGTGCATCCAGTAACTATACTTTTTTCTCATTATTGTGGTTGGTTGTCTAAAAAATCATTTGTATAGTTTTAAGATATGCATTTTAGAACACAAAAAATACATCAGGAATTAAATAGAATTTCTCAAAACTAGAAATAGGTAAAAAAAATTATGTTAATTGCTTGTAGCCAAACAATAACAATTGCAGACAAATGCTGACTGCCTGTGTAAGCTCACCGAAAAGAAAGAACTGTAATAAGTTCTTGTAGAAGTAAAAGTACTCTTTCTGTTTGTTTTTAAATATGTCCATCAAATAAGTGCAAGTGGCTTAGATAAGTGTCTTGATACCTATGATAAAATGGGAGGAACCTCTTTGGTAGGTTTGACAAATTTGTTGATATCATAGCAATTTGAGAAGGTAGGAGGTTCAAAGTTTATATTCTGGCCTGTCACTATTTATAGTTTGTGTTCTTAATTGGTTGGACACACTGAAACTGATATAAGGGAAGAGAGAGAATATTAGAGAGAATTCAGAATGGAAGATGTATCTCATGACACAAATAAGTGAAGATGGAGAATTTATATGAATATTTCATTTTAAAATTAACAAATTTATACATAGATAGTATTAATATTTTAATTATTAACTATGTTTTTTTTCCAAGTTTATTGACATAATTTAATGATAAAGTTAAATTTTGAATGTAAGTTTGTTAGAAAAGGTCAGACAGTTGCATTTTGACACATGATCCACCCATATGCATAGGATTAGTCAGTTATGAATATTTCCTACACTTTTCTCCCTCAGTCCTCATTACCTCTGAACTACCATAGCAAGTATTATTGTCAAAATATATATAATGATATATATTGTGATGTTATACAGTTAGTAGGTTTCATTTTATAGCTAAAGAAATATGTATGTTATGAAAGTAATGTTTTAAGAAGTTTTTGCTAAGTGCAATGACATTTGTTTTGTAGAAACTTGGAATTGTTTTACGTTTGAAAGTGATTGGTGGAATACCTGGTAAATGCTACCTACCAAATGATGTGGATCATCCATTGTACATGCCAACTGTTGACCAAGCATTGGAAACATCAGAAGTGAGCCCATTAATAGGACCTCAACATTTAAAGCTAGTGGTCGAGTGGGATCAGGAGACCAAAGAAGAGTATGCATACATAAGACTTACAGTAATTCTTGATAGTTTTATATCTGTGTTATAGTGCAGTTTAAAAGAGTGGAACTGAAGGAGCATGTTGAATTGATAAATAGTTTGCCTACAAATTAATTTATTTGTGATAAATTTTATTTTCCAATATTTTTGGAAAAAGTTTGTTAGTTTAAGCATACAGCTGTACAAAACGGCTTTAAGCACTAAGCCCACTGCAGGGATTGATCCTCGAGTTTTGAAAAACTAAATATTCCAAAGGAAGGATGTTTTGTGGCTAACTATGGAAAAATACACACGATTGCATATCTCTGATTGATATATAATTATGTAACCATTAGTAAGTGATAAAAAGTATTTTAGTTTCAGTAGATCATTCAGGAGTTTGTTTCTTTTATACACTGTTGAAAGAAGCTTAATACAGGGCATTATGAATTATTTCTAATGATAACACTCCTTTAAACAAGTAGCAAACTAATTGTTAGTTGTGCGATTAATTTTCTTTTTAAACACAAAATATCAAATAATTTTCTTATCTAAGCACACACACACACACACATATATATATTATGTGCATATTAGGTCATCAAGAAATTAATGTCACTTTTTTTTTAATGAAAAAACCCGAACAAGTTATATATATAACAACAAAACATTTATTAAATGAAATAGTCTCCATTCTTATCAATGATGCTTTTCCATCTTACAATCAGGTTCTCATTGCCCTGATTAAAGAAATCTCTTGGCTTTGAAGCAAAAAACATGTTGATGTCCTCTTAAACACTTTCCATATTTGCATACGCTTTCCCATTAAGATGGTGTTGTAGCGAACGAAAAAGATGGTAATCCGATGGTGGATGGGGGAG